TCAAAACTAAAGTGGAACCACGAGCGCAGCGAGTGGTTTCACTGTAAAGTTTTGAACATTTTAAGACGTCATCTATGATCAACAAGAGGACAGACAATGGAAATCTATGTGCGATCTGTTTTTTACAACAAACTGYGAAATGTTTACAAAATAAAATAAGCGAAAAGTTTTTCAAAAATTTGTCATTCAAGGAAAGCAAGGCGATAGACCAAACAGCTCCGATTATTGTGAGCTTTTGAATATTTTCGCTAAGATAGTTAGTTTTCATGATCATTAGAGGACAGAGTACAGAAGTAAGACGAAGGTTTTTCGGTTATTTACTTTTGAAAACTTCAAAGGTTATTTTATTACAAAAGTTTTTTCATAAAACACGTCAACATTTCACAACCAAACTTCCTACGCTGTGATTGGCTAATTTTGACAGTTCTTTGACAGCCACTGTGAAAGAATGCTTGCTATTGGTCAAAACTTTTGACATTTACTTATAAATGGCTTTTTTAGCTAAGTCGAAAAGAGTTTGAGTCAGAAGTCAAAGGTTCTAAAAAACGAAGCTTACTAATAAGTTCAGCTAAGAAAAGCAATGTCAATTTCGCTTGACAACATAGACATTCACGTTCTGGATGGAGCAGCCATTGAAGATCGACTCTGGAATGGAGTTAATGGCCATCTCAGACTGTACAAGCTCATTCAAGTCTTTTTCTTCGCAAGTTGCAAAGCGAGATGAATTTTTCATGTCTTCCTCTATCTTTTCCTCCTCCAGAACTGAATATTCGTCGGCAAGACTATCAGCAAGATTAAATTCAAAGTTTGGTTCCTCTTCTGGTTCCATTGTCGACTTTAATTAGCAAAATAAATTCGCAAAATCACAGTCCTTACGATAAAATCCTACCGGCGAGTCTTGTTTTCAAAAACATTACGTCATCCATGTGTCTGTCCTCTTATTGATCATAGCTCTCAGCCAATCAGAATGTGTTATTTACGTGAGTTGTTGTAAAAATCATCATCATCATCATCACCGACATCATCATCATCATCATCACCGACATCATCATCATCATCATCACCGACATCATCAAGCATCATCATCATCATTATATATAGTCACCATGCATTATCATGATCACCATCATCCAGCAATTTTATCATCATCACCATCATTATCATCATCATCATCCATCAGGATAAGTACCTTTGTTTCACATTTCACTTTTGGAGCATCATGAGGATATCCAGGTCCAACCTGAAAAAAATGAGAAAATCATTTATTTAGTCAAATGTCTTGAATATAACAACTAAATATTAAACCAGTGGTAAAGAAGACCTTTTGGGGAAGCAAAGGGCCCAGTTGTTCAAAGCTTGGTTAGTGCTAATCCTGGGTTAACTCTAAATAAGACCTATAGAGTTAACCCTGGATTAGCGCTAATCCAGCTTTGAACAACCGGGCCCAGGTGGAGTAGCAGTGAGAGTGCTCGCCTCTCACCAATGTGATCCAGGTTCCAGCCTTGCCGGGCTAGGTTTTGCATGTGAGTAGAGTTGTTTGTTGATTCTCTCCTGTGCTTCGAAGGTTTTCTAGATTCTCTGGCTTTCCTCTCTCCTTAAAAATCAACTTCTAAAATCCAATTGGAATCCAGCGGCAGAAGAGCCACACTTTGGAATCCACCATTTATCCCATTTAATTTTATTATATGCTTATTTATGAGAAGCTTACCTTAAAACTAAATACAAATCTTCCATATCGGTAGAAACCCTATAAAAATGAAATTAAAAAATACTCCTGATAAAGGATGATGTAAAAATAAGCATGGGTGGCGTAGCGGTGAGAGCAATCACCTCTCACCAATTAGACCTGAGTTTTCTTTGTTCGATTGTATCTTTCTGTGATTGTAATATGATGTATTGGGAGGCAAGGGTGGCTATAAATAAAGACCGCGCTGCCCTCATACAAAAAGAGGATATTACCTTGGCTGTGTAAAGATATGGACTTTATCTTTGAGGGTTGAGGTGATATCTTATGAGTAAGCACAGCAAACAGTTATAAGGTATTCTCAACATGAGAAGATAAAACACATATCTTTCAGTTGCCATGTAATATTCTGTTAAAATTAATATAAGATTATCGATGAATTACAATTTTAGTGGCTTTTTACTACTTAATAGAATTCATAAGAATTATTACCGAAGGTGCTCACATGTGAAGATATCATCTAATCTTCACAATATATCACTTTTTATTATATAATTACCAATGAAATATCTATTTTTCTCTATTTCGAAAAATTGATATCTTCACACGTGAAAATAACATGTTATTTTCACGTGTGAAGATAACACCATTGCGATGACTATTCAAAAATACACGGAAATAATTGCCTGAAAAAGCCAAAACATACTCCATTGATAATTATATAATAAACAGAATATTACATGGGCGCTTGGAGATACGAAATTTATCTTCTCGTGTTGAAAATCTCTCACTCGTTCGCTGCGCTCACTYGTGAGAGATCTTTTCAACACTCGAAGATAAATTTCGTATCTCCGCGCGCCCATGTAATATCCTCTATTTATTACACATTTAGGGTCAATATCAGTGTGACAAAGCCGTGAATAAAAACCATATCAGTGAAGTGATAGCATATCACTTCACGGTGAACTGGAAATTGTACATTTTGTCATTATATCGACCCTAAATGTGTAATAAACAAATTTTTACATGTTAAGAGCCTGATATCTTTTTTATTCACTTGTTTACCATACAATGTCACTCACTCACTCAAAGACTCGCTCGTTCACAATATGATATGGAAACACAGGAATAAAAATGATATCAAGCTCTTAACAAGTGTATAATCTCTATATATTCGATATCTCATTATATCATAAGATGACATTATTTTTGTCAAATATTATAGAATGAATGAAATTGAGCTGATCCTTGCAGTATATGAAGCAACTTATGCAGCTGCAAATTGAAAGACTCAGAAAAAAGTCTGAGTCTTGAACAGCAATTCCGGTGACATGCTCTAACCACTGAGCTACCAAGTCTCATACATGAGACTTCAAGGCACATTAGGTGGGTCTATTCGGCTTTATAGAATGAAAAAAACAGTAATTTACCTCATCTGGTGAAATATTTAACTTGAAATTTAGAAGATCATCAGGGTCTGGGAATTCTGTCTGACATGTTCTGGGTAAACAAAGTTCGCTGATATCTGGAACAAATGAAATGAAAAATGTTTATGAGCAATATACAATCTATAATATACTACATTGTGTCACCTTAACTGTAATTCCCACATTAACTAATTAAGCCCAATTATTTTTTATTTAGCATGCTGTACAATTCCAATTCAATCTATGAGTTAGATAAATATTATTTGGTTGATCCAAGTCACGGCCAACTGAATGATTGATCCCTGGAACAACTTCAGGGCTGATCTTTGTCAGACCATGGCTGACCCACAGATCAGACCCTGAAACAACCTCTAACCAGGACTGATCTAAGTCAGGGCATGGCTAACTCACCGATAGAACCCTGAAACAACATCTGGGCTGATCTAAGTCAGGGCATGTCTAACTCACTGATAGAACCCTGAAACAACCTCTGGGCTGATCTAAGTCAGGGCACTGCTAACTCACAGATCAAACCCTGAAACAAGCTCTTGGCTGATCTAAGTCAGGGCACTGCTAAGTCACAGATCAAACCCCTAAACAACCCCCTGGGCATACAGTATGTAAAGGGAAATGCACTTGAAAGCAAGAGCTTGCGCAAAGAATACTTTTCCTATACGAGTTGTATAAAAAAATATTTGATTTTATATTTTATGCCATTTCTCTTGTGTCACATATTATGTGCTGAAACTTTGCATTCTTACTAATATTGAGGTACTCTTTCCATTTCTGGGGTGCTGGCTTTGTCTAATGGGGTAAGAGTAATGTGACCTAATACAGTGTGTGCAGCATTAGCCATCGACTCAAAACCCCTTGAGATATGAATAGCAATGAAACAACTGCCATGTTGGTTGATCTAACAAGAGAAACTAAAGAGGAATGCATTGTTATCATCAACCAAGATGGTGGTTATGATGTAACATGCACATGCTCTATAGTGCTATGGAATATGGTACTCTAAATTAGGTATTTGGATAAGTATGCTAGTACTTAAGAATAAATATAATAATCAAATCTTAAAGCTTGGAAATGTACCCTAATGGAAAGGTATGAGTAAGTTAAAATTAAGATAAATAAATTAATGTAACTATGATCTCAAACTCTGTTTTAAATAGCAAATATTGAGATTTCGTAGATTAGGAAAAAAAATCTTGTCCAGAGAACAATCTTTAATTGTATCACGCCACAATTCATTTGTATTGCATGATTATTATTATTTTCGATGTAAGTTTAAAAGAACAAATAAAGCCACTAATATAAAAACAATAATACAAAGTAGAAGTACAAATATTCAATATTATCAAAAGACAAAATTTAGTATCTAATATTTTGGAGGATATTTAAAGCCTATTGCGTGAGGTATAGCAAAATAACCTATAAAAGTGTTCACAAATTTCGTTTATAATTCCAAAACAAAAACCTATAAGTAATGGTTTCTTTGTCGAAATGGTGTCTTCATAGAAGGAAGAACGTTGCTCAAAGAGGAATATAGAGATAAGGAAGCGAAAAAATGTAGAAAATAGAGTATTTTATGAAGAAGGTAGTCACATAACCAACGCATTTCTTTGCACAAACCAGTAAGATTAAATGACACAACACGGTCATATTCACCCTTGCCGCACCTTTCTGTAGCCTTAACTGTGCTGCTGAGGCCCTTTTTGTTCCACTCTTCGAGCCTTCGCCTTCTTTTTTCTGTTGTTTAAGCGAAAATAGTTTAATCATGGCTCAGCTATTTTAAAAATCAAGACAAATAGTCTCTAAAGCAAGAATATCTTAACATGGACGGACAACTTTCTGAATTTTTCACTCGGCGCCGGGTCAAATAAGAGCATTTGATTGGTCGATTTTTATCGGAAAGTTTTCGGATCATAACAAACGACAAGTTTTTGGCCACCGAGGAGTGTTCGAGGGTTTGGCGAAAAACTATCGATAATTTAAAACAATTTACGTACTTGTCTCAGAGAGACTCAGGAACTGTCTCAGGAAATAAGAATTATTTGGTGTTGATATTTTCATTTTAGCATAATTACGAAATAAAAGTACAAATGTTTTTCCTTTAGTTTATATAATGTTATAATTTGGCTATCATTTAAAAGTAGACAAAAGACATCTTTTAATGAAAAGTTTCTTAGAAAAATAAACCTTAGGAAAAACAAAAATAAGTCCAATCAGTTTTAAAAGAGTACACTAAGAGGTTACAAATCTGTGATACGAAAATTAAAATAAACTAAGAAAAAGAAGTGTCAAAAAAGTATGCTTAGTGTGGGTTACCTGTGTCAAAGGAAAGATTTCCGAAATTAACCCGAGGACGTCGCGAACTAGTAATACAAACGGAAGCGGAAGTGACGAATTGCAGAGTTTATTTTGGCGCCGTTTAGTTCACTTCCGGTGCGCTGGTTTGGACGGCCGCGTCTTTTTCCCGCCATTTTCATTGCAACAAAAAGTTAATTTTTTCAAAACATTTGTCATTTTGTTTCGTTTTGCTTCAAATCTTTCTCAAAATTGTCCCCAAAATTGTTTATTTTTCTCAACAATTCCTCGCTTTTGAGTCTCCTTCTACAAGGTAAGTTGTAAATAAATTAGAACTAAAGGACTTACAGTTTTTAAAATGAAAAGTTTAATGTTTTGTATAGAAAAATATCAAGATAAGCACTTCCTACAAATGACAAGCTTATTTTTTCGGATTCTTTTGTTTATATCGTGTTTTTTAAAGGTTTTTTTCTTTTTTGTAGATAATAATATTGCTATTCAAAATACTTACCAAAACTCTATTAAACTAATATGAAAATAATTTCTTTAAAATTTGTTCTTTTATTCCTGAGGTTTTTATAAGCAAATAATGTAATGTCATCTTAAATTTTTTTTAATTGCATTTCCTTTAACGTTGTTACAACTTTGGTTTACTAAATAGACTTTTCGCTTATATTTATTTTTTGTTTTTCGTTTCTTAATTGCAGTTAACTTATTTGGTTTGCTTTTAGGGCGAGGAAAAGCCGGATAGTCCACGGGAGTTTTTAACATTCGCAAATGGCTTCAAGTATCTGTTCCTACATGAAAAACGTCAAGCCCAATTATAAAACAAGAAAACAAAAGAAAACAAAAGATCTGCTAACAAAATCATCAAATCCTTCGACAACTTATGGGTATTTTTCTCTTCTGCCAAAAGAGATGCGCTTTCAAGTTTTTTCAACAATTCCTTTGGCTGACTTAGGAAATCTGGCCCTCACGTCCAGACCATTGAGGGATTGTGTGTTGGAGTTTATCGAGAGTAAACAAGGGCTTGAGAAAATACTCCCCTCTATAGCGGTGTCGGAAGAGAGTGCAAGTCATATCGAAGAAGTTGTTTTGTTTGATGATGCTATGAAATATACTGAGCATTTTGGAGATCTTGGTAAGTAAATAAAACTGTCTCCATCCATCCATGCATGCATCCATGCATCTATCCATGCATCCCTCTCTCCCTCTCTCCCTCTCTCCCTCTCTCCCTCTCTCCCTCTCTCCCTC